GTGCACACCATTGGGCATATGTGGTCGGTCAGAGGACAACTTGTGGTTTTCCCCTTCCACCATGTGGAGACTGTGAATTGAATTCAGTTTGTTGGGTTTGCCAGTAAGCATCTTTACTCACTGACCTAGGCCTTTCTTTTTTTCTTTTCTTTTCTTTCTATTTATTTATTTGTTCATTTTTATTTTATGTATATGACTGTTTTGCCTGCATGTATGTATGCGCACCGTGTGCCTGCAGTGCCCATGGAGTGCTCCAGAACTGGAGTTAGACTGTTGTTAGCTACCATGTGGGTGCTGGAAACTGAACCCAGGTTCTCTGCAAGAGCAGCCAGTGCTCTTAACCACTGAGCTTTCTCTCCAGGCCTTGTTTTTCTTTTTTCCTTTTTTTTTTTTCTTTTGAGACAGCGTCTCAATAGCTGTCCTAGAACTCACTGTGTAGACCAGGATGGTCTAGGAACTCACAGAGAGATCCACCTGCCTCTGCCTCAAGAGTGCTAAGAGTAAAGGTGTGGGGGCCACTATGCCCAGCTGGCTTTTTCTTTTCAGTGCACTGATTTGAATTGGAGCAGTTCATTGAGTTACAGAAAACTGCTAATAGAATCTACACAATAGGCACATGGCAAAAGAATCACCCACATGGCTTACAGGTAGGGGTGATGCTCAGAAGTCTTCAAGACAGGCTCAGGGAGGCCCCTCTAAGCCCCCAGGTTTAGCAGGGTCAGAAAAGTCTGCTTGCTTACACACCTCATGAGGAGGTGTGTATAGAGGGCCTGGACAACTGCTTGGGGGTGCTGCTGAATTGAGGGTTAAGAGTAAGACTGCCTGTCTCCTGCTGACTTTGGTCCAGGTTTTCCTCCAATTCCGGCCACATGAATGCAGTCTGGACATCTCCGGGGGTCCTGCAGAGCAGTACCGAAGCCTGGCGAGAGACCTTCAGCTTGAGGTCTTCCTGGAGTTTGTGAGTGGGACTTTTCCTTCTTTCTCTGTCAGGCAGGTGGCAGAACTGACAAGAGTAATATTTAGAAGTCAAGTACTTCATACAAGTGTCACATCCAGCAGGGGAGGGAGTGCTATTCCTGCACTTGCTGATAAAAATAGTCCAGCGAATGTGCAGTGAGCTGCACCCTCTGCCAGGCTCCATGCCCACCCTTCCCATTCTGCACCTCATTTATACCTTGGCACATGCTTTGAGAGAGACACTATCAATAGCCCCATTCTGCAGATAGAAGCTTGAGGCCCAGAGAGTGTCATCTCCTGGGTCATTTACACAGATGGTCAATGGCACATTAGGGTCTGAGTCCCAAAGATTAGACCCTTGACTATCATTCTGTACCAAATCTCTTTCAAGCTCTTTTCATAGCAACTAAGAAGTGACAGAGTTGAGCGCCCTCCCTGGCTGTGCTTTGTGGGCCCATTCTACACCATCCCTGTTTTCAGATTAGCAGCCCAAGGCCTAGAGAGCTAGAGCACGGCTTCTTAACCCTTTTCCACATGCCACCTCTGCACCCGAGAAATTTTTATGTGAATCTGGCTATATAGATATGTTCAATAATAGATCACTGGCTAATAAGTCATAAGTTTATTTTAAAGCATGCATATACGTTCACTATTTATTAAAGATGAAAGTAAATCTATATGTGTTGAGATGATGTGTTTCTTTTTACATAAAGAGTTAAATCTTGGTTGAATATTTGAATATTTGACACTGTAGGACACAGAACATCTTCAAAGGTTTTCAGAGTTGATCAACATTTGATTTTATAGTCGTCAATGCTGAGAACATTATGTAATATAAATAAGCAATACAAAATTAATTTGGGGTCATTGTATGTTCAGAAAACTTTTACTATTTCCAAATTTTTTCTTGACACCCTATATGGGATTGTAATCCACAGTTTAGGAAGTTGGGGGTTAGGATATGAGACAAGCCACAACCTAAGGAAAGTGCTTGGAACCAAATTGCCTGACTCCACCCACGGTACCCTCCACTAGTCCCTGTCCTCTGCAATCTTCTACCCTAGCTCCCAACATCCCTTCTCCTTGCAGAAGCAGCGGCTGGAAGGCCTGGTGTGGAAGCCACTGTGCAGCCTGACCAGAGCCCTGGTCGGCCCTCAGAACCTAATCAAGAAACGTCTGGACAAACTTCTGGACTTTGAGCGAGTGGAAGAGAAATTGTTGGACGTGGGCAGCGTGACCTATGAGGAGGAGGAAGCCAGACACACATACCAGGCACTCAACTCCTTGCTAGTGGCCGAACTCCCAAAGTTCAACCAACTGGTCATGCAGTGGCTGACCCAGATCCTGCACTCATTTGTGGCCCTCCAGAGGGACCTTGCTGATCAGGTGCTACGGAGGGCAGAGAGCAGCATGGTCCAGGTAAGACCAGTGGGACTGGGGCCACTGTGGGACACAGACAGGCAAGACCCTAGGCTCTTCAGCCACCTTTTGGCAGGGTAGAAATGGACAAGAGTAGGTCTGGATCCAGGGACTCTGGGGATCTCTTTCATGTCTGTTCTCCCTCCTCCAGTGGGGTCAAACCATCAAGATGGGCAGGGCTAGGACTCTAGGCCACCCGAAATCCTGGGACTTAGAAGCAGAGGAGGTTTTTCTGGGAAACAGTGACCCATCTCTGGAGGATATGACAGGAGGCCTCTTACCTAGTCAGGAGCAGATGTCTCCAGCTGGGATTATTACTGTTACTTCTAGCACCCGCCTCCTGGCCAGCTCATGTCATGGAGCCCTTTCCAGGATTAACTCACTGAATCCTCAAGCAATCTTATACAGTGTATTTTATGATTGTCCTCATTTCAAAGCAGCCAAGGCTCAGAGGTAAGGTAGCTTGTGCAAGGACACACAGATGGCAGTAGGCTCTGAAATCTTACTGTGCAATTTCTGTGTCTGAGCTCTAAACAAATACTCAAGAGCCTGTAAAAAGTAGCTATTCATTGAAGGCACAGATTCCAAAGAGCTCTGCATGAATCTCTGAGTGCAAACTTTCATTGTAGAATTTAGAAGTCCAGTTGGTACAGGAGGGACTATGCAGCTAATTCCACATTTCACTCTGTGATGTGACTATCAGAACTGAAGGGCTCATGGATCAGGCCTCGGAGCAATTTCCATGCTCCAAGGCCTCCCTCCTGTGTTTCCTTGCCATCTGATTCCCCACCCCCATTCTCCCTCATCCTGACCTCCCTACCATGTTACTGCTCCACCCCTGCCAACTTTCCACTCCATAGCCCCCTCTGCTCCTGCAGCACCTCTCTCCAGCACACAGTGTGAGTGTCACTATGTCCCTTTGCACACATCCCTCCTCAGCCTGAAAACTCACCTCCAGTGTCTCCCAGGCCTTTCTTTATGTCTAACGTACAGTGACGAAGCTCTCAGGATTCCTGTTTCTCCGGAAGTGTGGGGCCCACTCCCTCCATCTTTTGTATACCAGTAGAATTTAGGACAAAGTACTGCACAGTTCTTATGAGAGCCTGCCTTCTGCCAGAGTGGTGGGAATCCATGTTTCTCTTTAGTCAGAGTGCTGCAGCATGAGTGGCCCCTCTTCTTGCCCTCCCAGTATTTAGTACAAGGCACTCTTTCTGAGCTAAAGTGAGTCCAGCCCTGTGCATAAAGACAGAAGAGTGAATCTGACTGAACAATATTTCACTCTTCCCCAGTCCCTCCCTCCTGCCTAGTCTGTAGCTTGGACAGCCAGGACTGGGGTTGTAGGCAGGGGGAAGTCGTTTATAGCCACAAAAAGAGGAGAAGCAGAGGGGGAAGCTCCTGGTTGGTCCTGTACTATGGATGGCCAGGGTCTGTGTGGGATGGCTGTCAAATCTCTCTTATCTGTATCCAATGGGCCATTCACTTGGACCCGTTCCTGTGGTGCCTGGCCAGGCCTACATGGCAGAAACTGTCCTCTCACTGCAACCTAGGAAAATCTAGGGACACATTCCTGTTAGCTGTGGAGTCTCACTCTCTCCTGGGTTGTCTGATGAGAATGTAGGAGTTCCATAACAGGGTTGCTCTCTCACGGTGGAGTATTTCTTCTAACTCTCTGGGTTGCAGGTGACATACATCGAAGCCAAAAGAGCTGGTGCATGAAGAATGCAGTGGCCTGATCTGTGTAAGCAGAGACCAGGCAGGGTTAGGACCCCAGCACCATCAGTGCAGAATCGTGATGTTGTCAGGGCTCCACCTTTCTCTCTGTCTCCTGCCAGCTTCCGTTTCTGGCAGCGTTTGTTTTTAGGCAGGCTTTGTGTCTGCCTGGTGGGAGACAGGGAAGGCTGCAAGCCTGTGCCCTCACCGCTCACCGTCCTCAGCTTTCAAACAACACATCTGATAGAAGGACTCTGACGGGCCTTGAACCAAGCACAGTGGTTAAGGGGCAGAGATGTTGGGATTACCAAACCTATGAGTGCAGTGTCATGTCGGAGGAACTAGTGTGACCCTATGGAAGGGGCCAATGGACAGACAAAAACAGCAGCTAGACTTCTGGGTTTAGAGTGTAGGTGCCCAAGGCACCCCTTGGCCTCTTCTCCCACAGAGGCTCTGCTGACAACATCTTCCCACCCAGCTGCCCCACCACCGTGCCCCGGAGCCTGACTTCCGGAAGCTGCTGGAGGACACACTAGGCCAGACCTGTAGCCAGCTTCACTCCTTTCAAGAGAACTTCGAGAAGGTGCTGCCACACCCCAGCACTCAAGTAAGTGTCTCTCTCTCCCCCCTGAAGACTGTTCAGCTCTTCATCTGCTGGGGGTGAGACTTGATCCCTTCCTTTCTCTTTTTCTCTCCTGTTACTAATGGAAACATTTTCTCTTTCTGCTTCTTCTTTCTTTCTGCGAGCTGGAGGTAGGTAGGATTCTTAGCCAAACATTCATCTACTCTTCATGGCCAATGAGCCTAACTAAGGTCAAGAATAAGAAAACTTATGGGCATGATGATACATACATGTAATCCCAGTACTGGGGAGGAAGAGGCAGGAGGAATGCCAACAATTGGAGGCCAACCTGGGCTACATAGTTAATTTCAGGCCAGTCAAAACTACATTGTAAGACCTTGTCTCAGAACACAAAATAAGTTGTTTTAAAAAACCCATATAGTTCGGTGCATGTAGCTCAGTGCAATTTGCCTGGCATATGCAGGGCCCTGGGCTCAAGCTCTAGCATCACTTTAAGAAGGCATTCCAATTTTCTTTTTAAAAACTTTAGCTGGAGGCTGGGGAGATAGCTCAGTGGTTAAGAACACTAGCTGTTTGCAGAAGATCCGGGTTCGAATCCCACCACCCACATGGCAGCTAACAACCGTCTGTAACTCCAGTCCCAGGGGATCCGACAGCCTCTTCCGACCTCTGTGGGCATTGCACGACACGGGCGTACTTACCTACATGCAGGCAATACACGCATACGCATAAAATAAAAATAATAAATAAAATATTTTTAAAAATTAGCTGGACGTGGTGGTGCATGCCTTTAGTCCCAGCACTCAGGAGGCAGAGGCAGGTGGATCTTTGTGAGATCAAGGCCAGCCTGTTCTATGTAGTGAGTTCTACGTCACCTGGGGCTATAGGGAGACACTGTCTCAAAAAGGCCCCAAAATATTTATTTATTATTTATTTATTTATTTTTATGTATATGAGTGTTTTGCCTCCATATATAAGTGCACCCATGTCATGCAATGCCTGTGCAGGTCAGAAGAGGGCATCGGATTCCCTGGAACTGGAGTTAAAGACTATTATTAGCCACCATATGGGTGCTGGGAACTGAACCCCGGTTTTCTGTGAGAATAGCCAGTGCTCTTAACTACTGAACCATCTCCCCAGCCCCTAAAATTTTTTTCTTTTTGAATGGTACATTTTAAATTTTATATTTATTTTATGTGTATGAGTGTTTTGCCTGCATGTATATAAGTGGAACCATGTATGCAGTGCCTGCAGAGGCCAGAAGAGAGTGTTGGATTCCCTGGAACTATAGATATAGAGAGTTGTTAGCTGCCGTGTGGGTGCTATGAACCAAACTCAGGTCCTCTGCAAGAGCAGCCAGTGCTCTTAACCACTGACTCATCTCTCCAGGCCCTATAGCTTGTTTGTATTTATTTATTTATTTATTTATTTATTTGGTTTTTTTGAGACTGGGTCTTTCTGTAGCCCCAGCTGGCCTAGAACTCACTATGTAGACCAGGCTGGCCTTGAACTCACAGAGCTCTGCCTGCCTCTGTCTCCCAAGTGCTGGGACTAAAGGCATGGGCTACCATGCTGGTCTCTTTCTTTTTTAAAAAATATCATTTTTATTTTTTGTGTGTGAGTGTATTGCCTGCACGTGTCGTACAATGCTGTGGAGGTCAGAAGAAGGCTTCGGATTCCCCTGGAACTGGAGTTAAGGATGGTTCATAGCTGCCCTGTGGGTGCTGGGAATCAAACCCGGGTCCTCTGCAAGAGCAGTCAGTGCTCTTAACAGCTGAGCCATCTCTCCAGCTTGCTTTTTAAAAAAGTATTTTTACATAAAATATAAGGAAAAGCTATCTCATGATCTACCCGAAGAGCACACCTGGCCTGTGTTATTTTATTTTGTTTATTTTTTGAGACAGGGTTTCATATGCCTCAAGGGGCCTTGATCTTCCTACATAGCTGAGTCTTGGCCTGCAGCAGCTATAAAAATCAGGGGGAATGTGGCAAATCTGGATTTGAGAAAAGTGGAACTTCATTCATTCACATATGTGAAAGGTCACAAAGCAGCACCATGATTCCCCAGGAGCGACCAGAGGTTCAGCGACACAGAGGAGCAAGTGACGGGACCAGCAGGGTGCCACAGGCTAAGGTGGTCTTTATGCCAGAGGACACAGAAGGCCAGGGAATAATGTCAGCCAGAGGGGACAAGCTGCCTCCTGGTGCCATCTGTCCACACCTCAGCCTCCCACCCCTCAGTAAAACCAGCAGAAGTCTTACAGGGTGGCCATGGACCCTACAACTGTGGGAAAAGGGAGGGGAGACAGAAAATGAATACTTAAAGTAACATGTTTGTTATTGGACAAGCATTCCATCCTATTGTAGAAAAGATTAGAAGTCACATAAATTCAAAAAAAGAAGAAACACCCTATGTGCTGCAGTTAGGAACAGACACCCTCACCCAGCCTCCCTCCCTTCCATGCATGCACAGACTCCTCCCTGATCTGGCTGTGGGCACAAAGCCCAGCAGAAGTGGGATAGCCTTGGAGCAGCCCTCGTGGTCAGGCCTTCTGTGCACTGGTTTTACAGTTTGTGGTTTTCATCTGCTTTTGAGACAGGTAGCCCAGTCTTACCCTGACCTTGAAATCCTCCTGCTTCAGCCTCCCAAGTGCTGGGATTACAGGCTTGTGCACTCAGCTTTCTACTGGCTTTTATACTCCTATCAACACTACCTCTTTGGAAAAATACCAACCCATGACCGTAATTCTGATAAAACTGCCTTGCCTCTATGTTTTTGTTTAGAAACATCTGGCTGTCTTGCTTATCTTTTCTGTTCTTTTTTCTGTGGTGCTGGAGTTGCCCACAGGGCCTGGTGCATGCTAAGCAGGAGTTCTGCCACTGAGCTACATCAACACCATCCTGATTCTTTAAGCCGACTCTGCATCAACAGTAGAGTACGTAACAAAGTCCGCATCCAGATGTCTCTGATGGACACCTCCACCTGCCCTTTACCCAACACCTCCCTACTCCACGATAATCACATGGAACATGATGAATGCGCAAGTACACGGGTGCACACACACACACACACGCACACATACACACACACACAAATACTATGTATAAGTAGAGAATATGCTAAATGTATACATTTAACATCTTTCGTTTCTCATTAGTTTTATAGAAAAGAGACAATCACTCCTGAGCCCCTTCTTGTTTATACTTTTGCTGAAAACCGTAAATGGAAAAACAAAGGAAATGCCAGCAGGTTGAGGATAAGCTGAAATTGTCCCTAAACCCCTCTTCCCAGCTACAGAGCAATTTTTTTTTAACTTTTACAAAAACTTTATTGAGAATTTCATACATGCATATAAGGTGTTTTGATCAAATCCATGCCCACTCCCTCCCCTCCAACATTCCCATTTCCCCCTCTTAAGGGTTAGATACAAGCTCCCAAATACTTTTGACATTTTTGGCCTTTGGAACAGAGTATGTTGTTGACAGGACCAAGGACATTTTGACTTTTAGCCAAGAAACTGGCTACATTTCTTTGGGGTCTTTCTCCCCTAACTGCCTAGCCAATTCCTAATTCCTATTCTTATCATATCATCCTCTGAAGAGGTTACCCAAATTGCCAATAGGGAATAGGGACACCGACTGCTCTGGCTTCTTCCATGCTGAACAAGGACGCAGGGTGAGGCAATTGGAGTACCCCTTCAGTGGGTCTATCTAAAAGACTCCCAAATTGCATAGCTCTTGTCTCTAAGGGGAAAAGAAAGTCCTTGAATCATGAATGGGAGATTTGAAAGAGAAGTAAAGGCAAGAGAAATTAGCATTACAAGTTCTAAACAGGGAATTAGAAAAAAGTCAGAACAGGGCAATTTTCAAATGTTCATATGAGAGTTCATTGGATTTTCTTGACAAGGACTTCCAAAAGCATCCCTCTATTGGGATATTCCTCATTTTTATTTTGTCTTCCAAGGCTGGACTAGTTGGCTGGGAAGAGTGGCTGGATACTCAGGTGAGGGTCCAGTGACCCTGCTTGGCACTCCTTTATTGAATGAGCATAACCATCAATAAGCCCAATTGTGACCATGTTTAGTGATCAGGCTCAGCCAAAGTCGTGATGGTGGTAGGTAGTTATTTCATGCAGAGGGGACTGCTGTATAGCATCATCTTATTAAAAGGACCTGGAATTTAAAAGGATTTGGTGCTAGGAGCCACATATGAGGGAGAACATACGTCAATTTCTATTTGAGCAAAATTGTCCTGCATTCTGGCTTCACCAGTCATCAAATGTACTCCACTGTCGTGAATACAGTAGGTGCCCAATACATGTAGGCTGGAAACTTCAGAGTCTCAACTAGTTGTCCCTAATCACAGGTGTGTAGAGGGCTAGTGCTGGTTCTGTATTGGCCTCTGAAGATTCTAGATGGCTGAGACCTGGTATACCATGAAGCCCACAGTCTGGTAGTGTTCAAATTCCTGAACAAGATATTTCCTGTTCTTAACTTTGGGTTGTAGGTGAATTTAGGACCCAATCTTATGAGTTCTATTACTGACAAAATTCTACTCTTGAGTTAGTTTGAAGTTTTTTCTAAAATGCCTTTGGAAGATAAGGGTCAGCCATGTAGTAGAAGGTATGGTTGTCTCCATTAGAATGGGCTCTTCAATGACAGAGTAGGGCTGGATAGACTCAGTAACCCATCCTTGACTCTTAACCCAAGTTCCCGTGTCTGTTTGCCTTCCCAGCCTCTTCTCCCAGGCTCTGAATACCAGATGCAGGCTCTCCTGACCAAGTATGGCCCTGGGAAGCTATACCAGGTGATGAGCAACATCAGTGGGACTGGGACCCTGGACCTGACACTGCCACGGGGCCAAATTGTGGCCCTTCTACAAAACAAGGATACCAAAGGCAACAGCAGTCGCTGGCTGGTGGACACAGGGGGTATGTGGGCCTCTTGGGCCCTTCATATCCTTTTGGGAAGGCTAGATAGATGCTCTTGTATGCCAGAGTCTGGCAGTGCAAATCCATAATGGGATAAACTCAGTGATAGATGCAAGAATTGGAACTCAGTCAGTTTAGAGTGACTCAGTGGTGCATGAAACGTGAAAAAGAAGATCCTATTTTCCACTGCAGCCTCCCTCATCAAGTACCTGGGTGCTGTGCAGATAACAGGACCTGCTTTGGGGACCTTGCAGGCTCTTGGGGTGGTCAGATATGTGAAAGGACTTGAACAGAGAGATGGGGATGTGCATTAGGAAAGGATGCTTGGGTCCCAGCCACACTAATAGGAGTGAAGCCAGGATGAGGTCGGGGAGATCCTGCTCCTCTCTATTGGTCATGACCTTGGGGTCAGGTCTGGGGGCCCTTTGAAACTGTGAGCCCAGGATAAGAAAAATGGCCCAGCAGTGTATTGGTTTTTTTTTTCTTTTTTCTTTTTGAGACAAGGTCTTCCTGTAGCCCTGAGGGGCAGCTTTAGCTACTTTTATTTTTAGGTCATCTCTTTTTTACTACTATCTGTCTTTTCCTCTGAATCCTTGAACCTTACACAGGTTAAAATGTCCTGTTTTTTTTCTCTCTCAAGCTCAGCAACTGGGTCTGCCAGTATCTCCCCAGCCTTTCCAGCTTTCCCTGCTTTGGGCACCAGCTGGCCTGGAACTCACTATGTAGACCAGGTTGGCCTTGAATGCACAGAGATCCACCTACCCACCTTCCTCTGCCTCCCAAATGCTGGGGCTACAGGTGAGTGCCACCATGGCCGGCTCCAGCAGTGTATTCTAAAGATGAAGGTTGCATGGGATTTATTGTTGGAGACCCACACACAGTTATTTCCTTCTTCAGACATAATATCATTGTTACTTAAATACCTTAATATGCATTAAAAAATAAAATACAACTAGTCCATGATTGTATTGATATTATTGTATGGTACCAGGCCAGATTTTTTTAAAAAGGGAGACAATTTAAAATAATTAAGTGGAGCCAGGTATGGTGGTGCATGCCTGTAATCCCAGCATTTGGGAGGCAGAGGCAGGAGAATGACCACAAGTTCAAGGTCATCATAGACTGTCTAATAATAATAAAAGTATTTTTAAAATAAATAAGCTAGAAAATTATATAACCATTCAGAATACACAGATGTGGAGAAAGGATATAAGGAATACTAAAGCAAGATCCTGGGCCCTGAACACAGGGCTGGGCCTCAGCTCCACCGTTTCCTAATTGGGCGATCTCAGGGAGACTAGGAGCTTCTCTCAGCTTAGCTACATCAGCATGAGATGGAGATAGTGACAGTGACACAGCAACATTAGATTTATATGCAGACTGTAAGCACATGATGGTCCGGTATCCAGGAAGCGGGATAGCACCGGGGTAACTGCATTGACAAGGAACCCAGAAGGAAGTGTCACTAGGAGAGAAACCAGGCAACCCCACGGTGGGGAGGGGACAGAGCCTTGCTTTGGGTGGCCACTAGAGGGCCAGGAAAAGGAGTGCTACTACCAGGACACCCTGTCCATACCAGGCCAAGGATGAAATTCTCTGTCAGATGTTTCAAATCCGGTGGGTTGATCCACTAGGAAGCCTCTGTCATGGGGGCAAGCAAGCAGCAGGTAGAGAGTGATCACATCCACTGGCCTTCCCCATCGCTTCAAAGGGAGGGGAAGGTGGCCAGCAGTCATTCAACCCTCTGCATGTTTCCTAGGACACCGGGGGTATGTGTCAGCCAGAAAACTGCAGTTGTACCACATGGCTCCTAGTGAGAAGGCGCTCAGAGGGCTGGTTGCGCCACATGAGAACTTCCAACTCCTAACACCAGAGCCCACCCCAGCCCCCAGCCCCACTGTCCAGGCCATGACCCAGGTGAGTTTGGAATAGAGCTGAGGGCTTTCTTCCGTCATCTTCCTGGACTGGGGCTTGGATTTCCTCTTCCATGCACACTCCTCCTATCTGAGGGGTCATCTACTTGTGAGGCTAAGCTGTGATCAGTGACAAGTGCCTGTCCTGACCAAGGATGGGACTCAGGGAGAGGGGCCTCCATGCAACCACATGAATACCAGAGAGTCAATTCCTCATCCCCCATCATAGAACAAGTGAGAGTCTTCCATTCACTTAGCATTCGCCAGGTGTGGTACTAACTGGTAGGGACAATGATAGACAAGCAAGTAAAGATCCTGCTCAAACTTCCAATCTGAGGGGAAACTGTGATTACCAGGCTGAGTTTATGAACAACTGCAAAGTTATTAGCTGTGGTAAGTTCCAGAGCTCCAGGTATGAGGGGTTTTCCTGAGAAGAATGGTGCCTTTCTCATATAGGAAGGGCAAGTAGGAATAACTGGATAAACTGGGGTGTCCAGAGCAGGAATTCTCCAAAAAGCACACATGACATATGCAAACCAGTGACAGGAGAGGATGCAGGAGGAACTGATGCAGCCAGAGGCTAGAGGGAGAGTGGAGGCAGAGAGGACTGAGGTTCTCCTGCGAAGTCTGCAGGGACAAGCCAGCAGAGCCCTGCAACCTTGATGAGATGTCAGTCGTCTTCATGAAAGCAGTAGGCAGCATAGGCACACATATTCCTGGTAGTGATATTCATAAGAACCAAGCCTCCGTTAGTATAAATGGATAATCCAAATGTGGAATAGTGGTGTGTCAAGAACTCATCTGGAGACATAAACAAACCTCTGTTTCCGCCTTATGGCTCACCAATGACAAACCAAAGTACAATTCTACCAGTGTTCAACTTGGGGGAACTGAAGAGTTGATTGGGCTTATTCACAGAGCACAGTTGAGGCATGAGTGACCCTAAAGCAGCTGGAGAGTCATGGATGGAGAGCATGGATAATAACTTCTATATAGCTGCATAGATAGGACCCCCTCTTCAGTTAACCTTCTATTATCTACATACTCTAGCATCTCCAGAGACCATGAGACCACATATACTTAGCTCAGAATTATATACGAATGGCTGAGAGGTACAGGAGAGAGTAGCTAGAATCTCAGTGAGGGTCCAGTGGCCCTCTTCTTCTATGAGGGAATATCAGCAGTCAACATCTTGGGGACCTGTAGGGAGTCACAGATGTTTTGATGAAGAGGAAGACTGTTGTGCTCAGAGAATAGTGTTCTACAACACCACAGAATATTTTTTAGTCACAAAAAGGGACAAAGTAGTATCATCATGCAAGGAGGAGCAGGAACATGGGAAACCACATAGGGCAGGAGCCCACTCATGAATGTCTGCAGTAGGTAAATCAGTGGGCAAAGAATGTAGGTTTGTGCTTGGCAGCGGCTAAGGGGAGAGGGAGGGGGAAAGACTGCTAACTGGTATGCAATTTTGGCAAGATGAGTGCATTCTGGAATTAGATAATGGTAATGGTCACACATATCTGTGAATATCCGAAAAGCTACTAAATTATACACTTTAAAGGGATGTTATGGGATATGAATAATATCTAAAAAAAAGATAAAGGAAAAGAAGATGAATGGTGGGAATATAGCAGTGGTAGAATGCTTGGCCTGGGCTAAATTACCCTTTAGTTCTGGGGAGGGAGAGACTACTGAGGATATGCGCATCCCTGGGCTCCATCCTCAGTGCCATTAAAGGGTTTGGCTTGGCAGGGGCAGAGTCCTTGACCTCTCAAGCAGACCTTGGGGTTATTGGGAGGATTGAATGAGCCAGTAGAGTGAAACAGGTCTTGTTGTAGAGAGTCTGTTCTCTCAGCTGTCCACAGTAAAGAGGGAGCTTCAAAGATTAAATGTGAGTGACAGAAAGACTGGACTCAGGGACACTGAGGACAGGTTATGGGATGCCCGAGGAGCCTAGAGCCAGTACCTGGGATGTGTATAGCTCCTGCCACACCCATCAGCCAGAAGTCATGCACCAGGGGCTACAAAGGACCTTCAGGAGTCTCACTAGGGCCCTGACCACCCTACTCAGCCCCAGACTAGCCCCTCTGAGGAGGGGAGTGAGGTCGCTGCTGTCCTCTGGCTCTGGGGAACATGGGCAGAAGCTCTGCTGAGGGGCTTGATGGTAGAGCTCACTGGTCCATCTACCCCTTCTCTTCCTGGGGCCTCTGTGGACTCCTAGGAGACACTCCCATACTGCTTATTGTTCCTAAAGCTTCACCCCCAGTCACACTAATGGTAAAGAGAGTCAAAGCTAGCTGCACTGACTAGGCCCTTATACTGCACCAGGCACTGTAGGAAACCCTGTGTATGTACTCATTCACTCTGTTCCCTCAGTAACCCAGATGGCAGGATAGCATCACTGACACGTGTATACGATGGTACAGACAGTAGCTTAATAGATGTCCTCTACTCTTCTCTCCTCTGGTTCAGTGCTCAGTCCTAAAAGGTAACCATGTCTTCCAAACCCCTGTCACTAGTCCTTGGTAAGAAGCTGACCTGGATAGACAAACAAACGCCTTAGATCTGGGGAGTGAGAGACTGCAGAGGCTGCCTGGTGACATGGCTTCAGGGGTTCAAGCACACGTGTTCTGCAGCCAGGCAGGGCTGGCTCCACAGCTATGTGACTATGAATGAGTTCCATGACTTTTCTAAGTCTCCACTTCCTTATCTGAGAAAATGGGGCAAATGGCAGGGTTGGGATTGTTACAAAAACCAAAGACTGGGCTGGAGAGCTGGCATAGCTGTTAAAGGCTCAGACTCACAACCAAAAATCAAAGACCAGAAAAGTGCTAGAGCAGAGGCAGCCACATAGTGATTAGTGTCTATGGTACTAGCAAGACATGGTTGTCTCTAGTGCAAAGATGTGCTTGAGAGGTGATGGATGCTCAGTAACAGAGACCAGAGGTGGGGGATATATGTGTGGTGCTCTGTCAGGATTGACTTTGGCTGTCTGCCATCCTGATATTTCTATGTCACCCCATGTCTTTCAGGTGGTGGCAGCATACCCCTTTGTGGCCAGGAGCAGTCATGAAGTGAGTCTACAGGCAGGCCAGCCTGTGACCATCCTGGAGGCCCAGGACAAGAAGGGGAACCCAGAATGGAGCCTGGTAGAAGTGAATGGACAGAGGGGATATGTGCCTTCCAGCTTCCTGGTCAGCAGCCCAAGCCCAGCTTCCTGGGGCTGGACTCTGCCTTCTTAGGGTATCCTCCTTGGAGCCTCCATTGCCATGGGAAGGGAGAGGCTTAGAGGCTGTGACCTGGCAAAAGCAAAGTGGAAGGTGAAGAGAAGTGAAGGACACTCAGAAGGCAGCAGGAAGAGATGATCGGGCCTTGCAGAGTACCTGGCATGAGGGCATAGAAGGCTCCAGCAAGATCACTCATGTCTGCATAGAGAAGTCATTCCAAGCAGGTCACGGCTGATTAGTCAGGACTTACCACAGCTGGCAGGAGGTCTTTCCTGGGCCTTCTTCATGCCCCTGGGAGCTGACCACTGACTGGGGTGAATGTTGCCTGTGTGTCAGGCAGGTAGTTTCAGGTGCAGGTGTTGTTGAAGAAGTTCAGAATGCCTGGCTCAGCAGCACACTTCCTACAGCACTACCAGGAGACGCCATTACTGACCAGTCATCTTTTCTTTCTTCCTGCCTTAAGCTGAGCTATCTCAGGCAATGAGCCATGGGGAATTCTGCTCAAGGGAGAAGCCATGGATCCTGGTTCCCAGGAGATTCTCTATGGGGCTCAGGAGTGGGTGTGACCCACTCAGGGTTTGGGAATGTATATGGGCAAACTTAGGTGGTTCCAGGGAAGAGGGGAATTTGAGGATCGGTTAGTTGGGTATAAGAGGCTGTTGGCAGTGATGTACTCCATTGCTGTTTTCTCTGGACTAGGAGACAAAGGGATTTGGCAATCAATCATAGCAGAAACCCTGTGAGGCAGGTGACTACTGCCTGGTAGGTGGGAAAGGTGAGGAATGACTTGCTTTCCTGGTTCTGGATAGAAGAGCCAGAGACTCCCAGTGGCTTCAGGTTTGCCTCTGAGGGCCTGGAGACAGCAGATGGCATAAGATTAGGTGGCTGCCAGGCCTTAGACGTAGGCCATAGCTGCAGCTTTCCACCTAGAAAGATGTAATTTACAGGATGCGGTGAGGATGACATGAGGTTGACAATGCAGAGGTCCCTTGTCAACTGGGGAGTGCGACACCAATGTAAAAATGATTAATGGTGTCAGAATGGCCCCAGCCAGTGGCTGGCCCAGGCTGTAGAGGGAAGCAGTTCTCTTGCCATCCCTCATGCCCACACCAACAGTACCCTTCGTCCTAAACCCAGGCTCAGCCTCGGGGACCTTTTCAACACGCCACAGCATGGATTAACAGTAGGAACACATACCAGTGAATGCCCTGTTGGGGGTTTTATGAACACAATGGAGTGTACAAAGAAGACTGTGATGTCACTGGGTGACATAACCATGGGACCATGATATAGAGTCCCAGCTATTGAACACTCAGTCTTAGCTTGTAGCTGACAGCTGTGTGGCACATGACAGTATTACAGTCTAGGCAGCCAATGTCCAAGTATCTTGAACTTGATGAGTAAGTCATTTCTCAAACCTGGAACAGAAGTCCCTTAAAAGCAGACCTTGTTCCAGGAAGCTGAGTCCACTGGGGCAGTGTTCCTAGGCTGTTGCATTTAGACCAAGAATCATTGCAAGATCCCCAGAGAGAGGAAAAAGGTGATCAGTTCACTGGGATTGTTGTACAACTGACATGTTTGGAATCGACCCTCTTGAGAGTGTGTAAAACAAGCAGATTTATTTCCAAGAATGCCTCTGTGTTATAACCAGAGTGCTTGTGCTGTTAGTTCTGGCTTCTGAAGGGCTCTTGAGAAAGACATGCTTGTCTGTGTCAGACAGTCTGTAACATGCCTCCCCTGGGCTTGTTAAAGCATGAAGACTCTGCATGAAGCAAGAGAGTCTCTGCAGTCCCTTTCCCAATCCAAAATGTACTTCACAGGATGCTCCCAGTATGTTTCCTTTCTGTGTCCTGCTCAGACTTCTGGTAAAACTAAGGAGCACGAAGGAGGCAATGAAAAGTCAGAAATGCACCTGCACCTTCCCAGGCTTTTACTGACAGCTTGTTGTGTGCTGGGACTCTAGCTCAGCCTCTACAGTGTGGATGCTCGCTGCAGTTATACCGGCAGCTCTGAACTGTGCTGAAAACCAGGAGCCCACACAGAGAGGCTGATGTCATTGACCTGGGCATGGTTGTGGCCTCGGACTTCAGGAAGCTAACCAGGTGAATCTCACATGCAGTCATATTGAAGACTTCTTCCCTAGACATGCAGGGAGGAACAGCTAGACCTGGGGTCAGAGGTGGGGGCTGGTAAGTTAGGCTGTGCCCCAGCTGAGCTTTGTACTAGCTGTCTAAGCAGGAAGCCTTAGAGGCAGTTTGAAATAGGGCAGCCTGTTCTGTCAGGTCCCAGAATGTATATTTATTAAGTGCCATTAAAAGGGACCTGAAGAAAATTGGATATTCTTGTAGGCGTCAGGGGAAAAAATGAAATGTGCTTAGAACCAAGGCTATTTCATGAAAGGAAAATAAAAATGCATTCAGTAGCATGTGGGTTATGGTTTCTCAGGCCAGGGGATGAGATTAAAAGCCACTGGAGAGTGAGAGCAGGCGTACTGGGAAGATAGAGCACGGCCTGGATTTCCTCCAGGGGACTGTGTGTAATGTGCCTTTTACCCCCAATGCCTAGAACCATTGCACTGTGTCTTATTTATTTCACTCTTGGGCTGTCACATGCAAACTCACAAAGATAGTTGCCTAAGAATGGAACAAAACTCCCAAGACTTGAAGGATGGTTCACACAATACTCCCCGCTCCTCACAGTGGAGTCATAGCCCTTTAACTCATTGAGCTCCAACTTAGTTTTGGACACGAGGAAGGGAAGATGAATGAATTCTTGAGCAATGTGACGAGCACTGACTCGGTGAGCAACTGCTGTGAACTGCTAGCAATAAAAGACTTCAAAGATGACTGTAGCCTTGGAATTTGTGTGACTCCAATCATTGGCCAGTGTACCGTTCACTGTACTTGCTAGATGTGAAAATGGCACCTTGTCCCTTCGAGTGTTCATTTCTGTACAGCCTTGGTGCCTCCAAGAATTGGACTTAGATGCTGGGGAGACAGATGGGCTGTGGCCTTCCCAAACCCATAGTCTGGGCAGGGAGATGTAGACAAGTCATCAATCAGTTCTGAGTATGAGTGTCAGGACAGGGCAGGCTGAGGCCCAGGGAGGAGCTGGTCTCTGACCCAGACTTGGTGGCCAAGGAAGACTCCCTAAAGAAGTAATATGTGACCTTAGACCCAGTAGGCACCTGGGGTTAGGTGGTTAGGAGGACATATGCACAGGCCAGAGGCGAAGCAAGTGCAACAGGTCACAGAACTGAAATGTTGTGGAGCCAGAACACAGTATGTATAGAGGTGTGGCAGGGGCAGTGAGAGATGAGGTAGTTAGGCCAGCATGGTGAGGAGCTTCACTGTGCTCTCTGGCTGGGTGTCTGATGTGCCCAGGGATGACTGCACACTCTACAAGGCTAAGGAGTTTGCTTCATTCTAGAACCTTCTAAGCCTTTGGCATGACCTCCAAATTAGAGCTGTTCAATTCATATTACATAGATAAACATCACAGAGTGGGCAGGAGTACTAAAACCCTGCCTTTGTAAAATCTACTGTTTGGAGGTACACTAGCATCATGCTGTTTTCTGGTCCTGCAAGACACAGTGCCATTAGCATTAGAGGCTGCTATGGATCAGGCTGACAGGTGCTCAGAGATTGATCTGAGAGGGCTGAGGTGGTCATGAGAGGCTTTGCTGGAGAAAGTGGGGCAGATGCAGGGCCTTGTGGAGAAGCAGGATTAGGGAAAGCAAACAAAAGAGATGTTTTTCTAGCCAGGGGAGACTTTGCCTTAGAAAAGCCAGTCCAGAGCATACTTGATCATAGGCAATTAGCAGATGTATTCACCACAGCCTCTATATGTGAAGAAGTTTAATGAGGGCCTCCAGCCTGCCTGTTCTCCCATCAAGTCCATAAAGTACTCATTGGAGAATTCAAATTTATCTCAGGGGATCCCCAGCTGTCTTTACTCAGGTCCTAGTTTCTAGTACAGAAGGGTCACCTTAGGAACTGTTGTGGCAGAGTAACACACAAAGCATTTGGACAAAGGATAAGGCAAGGACTGAAATCCACTCCTGATAACATCCTGGACCTAGGACCTGAACAATCTACCCACCTGAACTTGCCTTTTCATTTTAAGAGACTGGAGATTACTGTGGGCCTTGTGTATGCTAGGGAAGCATTCTACTACTAAACTTTATCCACAACCCTGGTCATCTAATTACCACACATAGCTTCCCTCTTTGCCCCTCTCCTTTCCAAAGCTGGCTTCCAATTGTGTGCTAATTTTCTCTGAATTAAAACCTTCCATCTTGGAGAGAAGCTTGAGGCAAAACATGCAGGGAAGCTGTTAAGCTCCAGAAATAACTCCTGAGCTTCAGGAAGTCCCTGTAACCAACCGGATACACCAGGCCCCTCTCTCATCAAGTATATACAAATCCTAAAGACTACCTAGATACACTCATAGGCCACCTGGGTTTCTTAGAAGAGGCTCAGACCAGCCAAGCTGCCTGAAATGGACCCTCTGCAGCCTGGTGAGCTGCCTCCAGGTTTCCTGCTCTCACAAGCAGTCACCCATGTTCTGGTGGACTTTTGGTGATGCAGCTGTCTTTGAGTCATTTCTGCTTCTCTAAGTAAACCCTCACCCATAATCCTGAAAGTAACCCCAATAAACTCAATCATTTACCAAGTTGGACCGTGTTGGTATCCTTACTTTGCTTTGTTTGGGGTTCCCTATGTGTGTCTCTCCAGAAAGTGTCACATAATACCACCTCATCTTCAGCATGTTCCAATGGCTCATCTGTCTTCTTAGTGGTCATTTATGAACATTTCTGTATGGAAATTCCCTTTCTCAAGAGTTGTTAAGGATTAAGGGGGACAATCAGTGAAATGGCAGTGGATGGTATCAGAGTATGTATAGCTGATGTGCATGGATGGAATGTGTGAATTGTGACCACCAGGGGGCAGCAGGGCTCTTTAGTCTGCCATCCAGGACTGGGAGGTGCCTTTGGGGTCAAATGCCAGTGGTGCTGGGGGAGAGAGTCAGGAAGGCCAGGAGAGAGACATTAGGGTGTGGTGGCTCCTGCATTGGACTGGAGCATGCATAGCAAGTCTAAAGAGCTGCAGTTTCTAGGCTCAAGCCAGTTGCTGCTGCATCACAGTGACACCAGTTGGGCTGACTTTTCAAGAGAGGCTAGAAGCCAGGGGGGTTATTTTTGTTTGTTTCTTTGTTTTGTTTTGATTTTTTTTTTTTTTTTTTAAGGGTCTCATAGCCCAGGCTGGCCTCACACTTGCAGCAATCTTCCTGCCTCAGCGTCCTGAGTACTGGGGTTACAGGCATAAGCCACCATGCCCAGCTTTGGTCTTTTTCGTGGAGATCATGTAATCTACCACAGACTCTGTCTTTGCACCTGATGCTTGGATGTGAGTTCATGATCCTGGGTGGAGAATCTTCTCTGAAGATTTTTTTTCATATCTTTACCTCACTGGGCATTAATTTCCCTTCCTGTCTTCAGTCTTCAGGGATCTTGAGTCTCCTTGAGGCCCACAAGTAGCAAGTGAGCTCTTCCCAGTGGCTGCAGTTTGGAGCCATCCCTGAATCCCAGGCTCAAGCAGAGGGAGCCTAAGAATTGCAGCCAATCCTGCTGAGACTCTCCTGGCTCCAAAGGAGGGGTCTTGCTTGTTTGTTCCCTGCTCTGGAAGCTGTGTACTGTGATTGCCTTTGCTCTCTGGTCATAGGTTGGGTCCATGCGAGGTATTAGCTAGTGGTGGAAGAAGCCAAGGTATTCCCTCTTTCTGCTTGTCTGCCAGTGGGTGGACTCTGCGTAGTCCTAGTTCATGGCTCCAAGTCCCACTGGACATGCCTATCTATGCTTCTGGTATTTGCTGGGCACTGCTCTTCTCTAGGTCCCCCAGCTTAAGTGTTGTCATGTGCTGCTGCTAATCTCTGGAGTGTGTCTTTCACCTGTGAAACCTACTCCCTGTGTTAAATTCTTCCTGTTCAAAAGGCACGGAGTGGTCTCTGCTTTCTGCCTACATGGATACACCACCCAGAAGCCCAGGCGCAAGGAGAGGCTGGGTCTCCAAGTACTCCAGACCCCTAGGGAGATGGAGGACCTTCACCAACTCTGTCTGCACCTTCTGGGGCCAAGAGAATGTCAGCCCTCCCCACCCAGAACTATTGAAGTGTCTTCAGATGCCGATAGCTGAGTGGTCACGCTCCAGGAGTAACAGCTGGGGGAATCTGCTGAGCTGGCCCCATCTTGGCCAGCTGAGGCCATTATTACAGGACCCAGAAACAGACAGTTGTGAGAAGACCCACAGGCCACTGTGCCAGGGCAGAGCTGTGAGTGAGGCCAGTCCCTATAGCCCTGGAGGACAGGGGACACAATTCTGCAGCCTTTTTGCCTTAGCAGAACCTGCATCTGGCCTCCTGAGGGGCAGTGGCCCCAGGTCCTAGGGAAAAACAGTGGGGCAGGCCAGAGAAGACGCTGATCTTCTGGGTTCTGGGGTCTCAGGCTCCCGGACCTGTCAATAGAGCCTTTGGTGTGGGAGCAGATGAGCACACTAAGCAACACCAGTAGCTTTTCTTTACTGCAAACAGGGCTGTGGGAAGGTTACATGAGGGAATCCACTTTACATGATTAATCCAGGACCTGGCACATTGAAAGCTCTGAAGAGCTACAAGCTTTAAAAAAACTAAATACAAATCTGAACAGCAGCCATAGCAGCCAGCCACTGTGGATTTCATTCCTTAGGCACCCCAGGAGACAAGCACAGGCCTCAGGCTTCTCCTCTGGGGCACGGCCAAGCCCAGGGACACGGATCCAGTTGCCAGGGCTTAGAAGGGTTGAGTCAGGTGAAGGAGCCGTGAGAATGGGCAAGCTCTGTGACCCTGGAGCACTCTCCCCAGGGATGGTGGGCAGCAGGTGTTCATCAGGCAGAGCCCCAATGGGACACTTGGGGACAGGAGTCTCATGGTGTACAAGCAGGACAGAGATCAAAGTCAGGTCACAGTGGGCAGCAGAGTTCCAGGCTTTAGGCTACAGTTCAAATACAGGGCTCCAGGGATGCAGACCACTTAATGACGTAATAATCAGGTCAGGAGACAATACTGAGAACTGGGTACAAGGTTGGGTCCCAGTTTTTAGTGCAAAGGACTTCATACTAGGCCCTGGGCGCTGACCTGGAGTTGCCCCAAACCCTTGTATTTAGGGATAGGATGGTTTTGGGAGCCAAGGGAAATGGAACTGGGGAGAGGGTCTGGAGGTTAAGCCATAGGGCCAACAGGAGCCAAGATTTCTTTCTTATGCAAGATGCTTGAATTCAAATCCTGACCCCACACTTACTGGCTGGGCGACCTCTTTGAAGAAGTTACTTAATCTCTCTAAAACCTCGTTTTCCTTTTTGTGGGTAAATCAGGAAGCAGCCCCAGCTCTCAGAGTTGTCAGGATATTGAATGGGATAAAGCATAGCAGTACTGGGCAGTGTGTCTTCTATGCATAGGGCTTAGTGGACGATTGATCGTTGGTCACACAAGCCTTCTCCAGCTTTCCTTCCAAGCTTCACATGCAGGCAGGACCCTGTATCATCTGGATCAGCCTCTCCCCAGATGGCTGTGTTCCTGACCCCTTACTCTGATACTCGAAAATGCCCTAGCACTGCATGAGCATTTTCAAAACTGAAAGCAAGTTCTCCAGTGGCCAAAGGTTGCTCCCTGGGAAGTAAGTGTGCCCTGTCCTCAAATACTCCCTGTGCCGTGTGTCGGCCATCTTGGATTATGCCCTCCTTTGAAGGGCATCCTCAGCTGCTGACAGTGCAGTTGTAGGCAGTTTTGCTGATGTGGCAGGT